ATATATATATATATATATATATAGTTTAAAAAAATGAAATATTTAATATTTTAAAATATTCTTATGAATTTTATTTTAGTAAAATGTAAGTGATTTATAGTTTTACAAATTACAATTAAAGCAATAACTCCCTAATAATTATATTTTAAAAGACAATAATAAAAAAAAATAATAAAGCAACATCCATATGATTCTTGCCCTTTAATCTCTATCAAAACCTTTAATCATAACTCATAATGCAAAATTCACTCATTTCCTTCGTTTCTCGTTTCTTACAGCATATTCCAATTTACATTAATTTCTTTTATGAATTTACAATAACACCCTTCCAAACCTTCCAAACTTGTTTCTCAAAGAAGGTTATTTCCGTAATTTCAAACTTTCTCGTACCCCTCACGTTTAAAAATTCAAAATTTCCCTCTCTCCTCCTCCTCTTCCTCGTTCAGCTCTCTCCCTTCTTCCTCCCTAAATTCCACTCCAATGTCGCCTTCCTCCAATCCCACCAGCCCCCATCACTCCATCAATGGCCGCCACCGCTAACGCCACCCTTTTCTCTTTCTCCAATTCGATAAACTGCCACTCATTTCCTACTTCATTCCACTCTTCTCCTGGAAGCGCAATCCATCTAAGGAAGCGCGCTCTGCAATTACGCCCACATGCTCTCTCCGCCAGAGAACCCTCCACCGATCTCTGCGTAGTCTTGGCCGGAGGTGGATCCGGTGGCCATATCTTCCCTGCTCTCGCCATCGCCGACGAGCTCCGCACCATCCGCCCTAATGCCCGCATTGTGTTCGTCGGCACTTCCACCGGCATGGAGGGCGATGTTGTTCCTTCCGCCGGATACGAGTTTGTTCCCGTTCCGAAGGTTCGCCTCGCCAGGCCTTTTCTCTCCCCTCTCAATCTCCTTCTTCCGATTCAACTCATCCGCTCCATCGCCGCTAGCGCCGCCATCCTCTCCCACCTCCGCCCTAAAGTCGTCATCGGCACCGGAGCCTACGTAGCCGCCCCGGTATGCTTCGCTGCCATCATATCCGGAATAATGCTCGTCATTCAGGAGCAGAATTGCTACCCTGGAATCACCAACCGTGCCCTAGCTCCCTATGCCGAGAAGATTTTCCTCGCGTTCAATGCTTGCATAAAGTATTTCCCCAGAGAGAAGTGTGTGGTTTGCGGAAACCCTCGTCGTCTCAGTGGTGGCTCCGGCGGAGGTGTGTCCAAGTCCGACGCTAGGGCTCATTTCTTTCCCGACTCCGGTGAGAGAGCCCTGGTGGTTCTCGTGCTCGGCGGTTCGATCGGAGCTAACGCCATGAATCGTGCCTTCTTGGAGGTTTGCTATGATATGCTTGCAAAGCATGAGAACAGATTCATTATTTGGCAGACGGGGGCGAAGTGGTTCCAGGAGGTCAGAAGTGTTGCTAAGGTCCATCCCAGATTGTTTCTTACACCGTAAGTCAGCAATTTGAAGCTCTTTTCATCTTCACTTTGTTATAGGCCTTATTTTGCTTCACTCAATTTTAATGTATTTACATATCTAATTTCTAAACTTTAATTTTTACATGAATTGCACCTTACCTATGCACGAAAGTGTGTACTTCACCTTTTAAAAATTAAAATGTGTTATTTTTTGTGTGATATCAAGGATTTGGGTGGTACAATTGTAAAAAAGCAAAGTTTAAATGTAGCAATTGGGTGGCATCTATGTAAATGCCCCATAATTAGAAGATTTACATACGGACCACTTAATTCTTATGTATTTACATATCTAACATCTAAACTTCAATACATCACACCTTACTCATGCATGAATAAGTGTATTTCACTTTTTAAATGTTATTTAAATGTTAAAAGGTTTTTTTTTTTTTTTTTTTTTTTTTTTTTTTGTGATATGGAAGATTTGGGTGGTATAACTGTAAAATTTAAAGTATAAGTGTTAGATATGTAAATACAGAAGAATTGGGTGATATCTGTTTAAATTTACCTGCCCTTTTAGATCATTATTGTATCTTTATATGACAAATTAGGATCAATTATTAAACATGCAAAGTTATCATCACTTGGGAAAATCTAGTGGAGAAATTTTGAGGGCTCGGACTGATTTTGCCTTATATTAGATGCCTATACACACGGCAAAGGTTCTATTGGGTATTTCTAAAATTTTCTTTTGCAAGGTTTCTATGCTTTAGGGTTTCTAAACATTTTCTATATTATGAAGGTTCTTAGATGAAATGGAGTTAGCTTATGGTGCTGCTGATCTTGTTGTTTCTCGAGCTGGAGCAATGACTTGTACAGAGATTCTTACTGCTGGAAAGCCTTCAATTCTGGTAAATTTACAATGCTGTTACATTCCACTATATTGAACTTTTAATTGTATGAATATATTACAATTGAATATATTTGCAAATATTTTTTTTTCTTGAGCTTTTTTATAATTTTGCTCACTCTCCCTGATATTCTTTTTTGCACATGAAGCTCATCTAAGGACAAAAAGGTTCTATGTGGCTGGTTCTAAGAGATGTCAAGTGCCTATCAGCATGAAATTCATCTAATTTATGTTAATTGATAAAGATTCGAGATATGGAGGCCTTAATTGTTCTATAAGACAAGATTTTATCCTCCCACAGAGAAAAGCATGCCTTTTGGGCCTATGTTGTCTGATACCTTGCCAATACTAAATGCAGTATAGGAGCATTTCAATATCTGAGTCGGAATTTGAAAAATGGACGAAGGAGAGCGTTAGATTTATAAATAGCAATGTTTAGAGTGCTTTTTTTTGAACTATGCACTCACTTTTCCTTTTCATTAGTGTAGATACCATCACCAACTGCTACAGATGATCACCAAACAAAGAATGCATATGCCATGGCAGATCTAGCAGGGGCACATGTCTTAACAGAGGAAGAACTTGATTCATGTAGTCTTCAAACAGCCATAAATAATGTGTTAGGTATGTTCAGTTTCTGTACAAAACTTATTGGTTTTGATGCTTCTGTGGGCGGACAACTAGGTCGATTAACCTTAATTTAAAAGGAACTCTTAGCTGACCTGCCGACTTATTGTAGATAATAGATACTTAAATTGCATAACATTCCAATTTATTAATTTCAGCTCATGTTTTTTTTTTTTTTTCAAAATTGCTGAAAATTTATCTTAAAACAAGTTAACATTTTTTATGTAATTATAAAAGTCTGTTTTTGCAAAATTGCTGAAAAGTTATATTAAAACAAGTTGACATTTTTGACCAAATTAGTCCTACAGTTTTAAACTGCTCCACTTTAGTCGTAGGTTTTTAAAAATTGTTCGATATTAGTCCCTATGTTGAATTTCATGATCAGAGGGTATTGTAAGAATAAGAATTTTAAATGAAATTTTATTTATATTATTACTCTTTTTTCATATGACAACAGGGATCCGAATGTTTTGAAAGTAGAAAGAGGCTCTCACAGTTAGATTAGCCAAAAATAATCTGTAATTCACTGATTCCTTTCTCCTTCTCAATCAAATGCACACATTCTTAATGTTTCAGGTGATAATAAGCTGATGGAAGAAATGTCTGAGAAGGCAAGAAGAGCTGCTCGACCCAATGCTGCTTCTCATATAGCTGAGTCTATTCTCTCTATTATAAAGTAATCTCTCGCAAAGGTACAAATTCATTCCTGATTCAAACTCCCTCTCTTTCTTTTTCATTTCAGTCTCTTTCTTGTTACTCATTTAGAAAGCTGCCCCAATATTTTGGAGAAAATTTTAGCCGTATTTCATAACAACAAAGTTTGTAATGATCAGGTGTTTAAAGTAAGATGTAGGTACATATCGCTTAATTCCTATGTATTTATATGTCAACACCTAAATTTTTAAGTTTTACATATATGCCGTTTTACTAATGCATCAAAATGTGTATTTCACTTTTTAGAAGCTAAAAAGTAGTGGTTATTTTGATGCGAAATGGAAGATTTGGGTGGTATTATTATAAAAAACAAAGGTCAGGTGTTAGATATGTAAATTACAAAGGAAATGGTATCCTTAACCAGAAAATTAGCCAAAGAGAAGTTCTTCATGTCAATTTATATTTTTTAGGCCTTCTCTATAATTAATCATACAAAGTTCGAAATGTCTTATTAAATACTATTTAATTTGTGTATATTTACATATCTTACAGCACACTGGTTTTGGAAATCAGGTTACATGCTTTGCTTACCTTGGTCATCAAGTCCCGAGCTGGGGTTTTTTGCAGATTGGCACATTCTGTAGGTTAAAAGGCTATACTATATAAAGAAGAAATATTTAATCATACATTTTCATTTGTATATTGGGTGTAAGTACTTATAAAATTTGAAAATAATTGGTAAAATGTCATTAAATTGCCTTTTATAGTTATCATTCAAATAACATTGAACTCTTCTATATCATCTTCTTTACTCATCCAGTCCTACTTTAGATGTGTGCGGGGACATGCTTAATCATCATGAACATGCAAGATATCATTGATGTTTGGTGTATTTAATTTGAAGCCATTCCGAAGTCTATATTTTAATCACAATAATATTGCAATTATAATAAGCGAATAATCATCCAATGGATTAACATATACTGTTCAAAATATTAAAAAAAAAAAAACTTAAGTTAAATGCATCCCAGAACCAAAAAGTTCATGATTTACACATTTATAAAAAAAATAGCATAATTTACACCCTGCACAATATATTTTACAGCAGTACCCAGGAACCAAATGTGAATATGTGCAATGCAGGTTTTGTGAAGTTTCTTCTCCCTTTCATGCAAATTAATTAATTCACAAGGTTTATTCCATCAGAAACCCATCCTTTGAAATCTTCAGAAACTCAGATAGACTGATGCCTGGAAGAGCTTCTTTTTTGGAGCTTCTTTTCTTTCTAATTTGCGTCACCTTCAACCTGTTGGAGTTTTCTGCTGCAGCTGTTGCGGATATCAGGTCATAATACTGCAATGAACAAAAAAGAAAAATCAGAAATTACAATTTTAACCAAAAATAATAGATTACACATAGAATGTTGTTGAGGCATTATACATGCATAGCACATGATTCTTATGTGTTTACCATTCACATATCTCGCTCTTAAACCTTCAAATTTACACACTCAAACCATCAATATCACATAGCATTATTTGCATTATTTTCGGTTTTTGAAAGTGTAATACTCATTTTCTTGCATCGGTTTAAAGCACAAAAGTGTTGTCTGTAAATATGAAAGTTTTAAGTGTGAGACATGTAAATCCATAAGAATTGTGTGCTACAAACCTAAAAGAGACAATCAATCTTTCAATTTTCTACTGAAAAAAACATAATTTACATAAATAACACTCAACTTCTATGCATTTACATATCTAACACCAAAAATTCAATTTTTACATACCTATGCATGAAAAAGTGAATCACTTTTTAAAAGTTAAAATAGTGGTATTTTTGATGTAATATGAAATATTTGGGTGGTATCAACCTAAAAAGATTAGGTGTTAGAAATGTAAATGCAAAGGAATTGGGTTGTATGTATGTAAATGCCCCCGTATAAGTAAATGAATAAGTCTTGAAGCCTGACATCTATTCAGATAGAAAAAAATGTCATGCCATCCTCACCAAATTGTACTCAGGAAGATTTTTATACAAATTAAACTTTTATAATTTAATCATATATATTGCACTAATTTCAAAGCAAATCTGGCGGTTATAAATAAAATCTAGCTCCCAAAATTCTTCACCTCTTAAAATTACCATAATTAACAGACCGCACAATGTAACACACCAACTCCATTTCTGAGTATAGTTATATATTGATTTCTACATTGTTATGGACACGTGTAAGCAAATCAGATGCTGTGTATCGGAAATTCCTATATGAAGTTTGTATAGGATTTTTTTTTTCCTGAAAAATATTTACCTCGCATACACCATGCAGCAATAATCTGTGAAAAGGGTTCTGAACATGCAGCTTAAGAACATCTTCATCATTCCCATCCTTAATGAAAGCTTGTATTTGCTCCTGAAACAAAATAGAGTTTTGAATGCAACCAGAAACAAGTTAAAAATGATATTTTGAACCCAAAAAAAAAAAAGAGGATTTACTAATATACCCCCCAAAACTTTCTTTTTTACAGAAAAAAACATTTAGTATTTTGAACTTGTGTATTTATGTGTAATAATTGAAAAAAAAAACTTGATGAAGGTGTAAAATATGGATTGAGGTTTTGTTGTGCTTTTCAAGACTTAGGCAATATCAGTTGGGTGTTAGTTATATAAATAGGAGAGATATGGACATTATAAATGTAATTATGCAAAAAAGCAAGGAATTGAACCCAAAACTTACATAAAAGAAGAAAAAAAAATATAGAGATGACTTTGCAATCATTCTTGCTCACTTTCCTTAGAAGAAAGGCCAATGGTTCAAAACAACCTCTTAAATTCCATGAATTTTGTTGATGTATGGTATAGAGCAACTCTTAGATGAAAACCAAATATAACTAAAAACAACAAGAAGTAGATGCAAAAAAGCAAATGATGAAGGAGCATGTTTTAGAATGAACACCATACCTCATAATTCTCGACCAATTCTGATAGCAATTTGTGCCGAAATGCCTCCCGAGATCGACAATCGACTCGGTGCCATGCATTTAAAACCACCAACTTATCTTTCTCAACACTCTCTTTTATGCTTGAAGGAGCCTTCTCAAGTGCTCCTATCAACCTTGCCTTGTTTGAAGAAAAGGTAATAGGTTATGGAATGTTAAGAAATATAGAACCAGCTCCATACGAATAAAAAGCAATCAAATATTAAAATGCATAAATGTACATGTATAGTATCCATATACATATATATATTAAGGTGTGTATATTAAATTCAACAAACATCCATACTATTTATGATCAAAATTGATATTAAATCATAGTAATCACCTCGGAAAAAAACTCAATTAAGCTTTCTAGCTAGTTTAAACTCTCCTATGACTTCTTAATCAGTAATAACAAAGTCTAGTAACCTTATATTTGACTCAACCAAGAAAAGCAAAGGATTATAATGCAATAAGAGTGAAGTGTAAAGATAATCAAAATAATATATATATGGGAACAGAAATGGAGACCTCTTTATCCATATCAATGCTCCTGAATGCATCCCATTCTGCAACATTTGTCATGCAAAATGCTGATAGAGGAGTACTTTCACCTGTACAAGTCAGTATGGAAGCACATATCAAACATACAGAAAATATCCAAAACTAATAAAGATTGCAACAAGAAATTGAAGTCTTGGTTTCCATAACACAAATTTGGTCCAATTTTTATTTCATTTATAAAAATACAAAAAGTTGAAACAATTTTATCTATTTAACTGCCAATTCTGTAATTGCATGATGGGCAGTGGCTGCAAAACAGAAGGTCTGAAAAGAAATTGTTTTGAGGCCCCTAAGCTTTGGTTTAAAAGATTTCTGTGTCATAAATCGATCCTATAATTTAAGAAACTTGTCTAGAATCGAACTTTTGCTGTGTCATAAATTTCCAATTGGATGGCTATAATATTATCTCAATGTATTTACCTAACACCTAAATATTCATAACCACATGCATATCACTCAAATCTTTAACATCGCATCAAAAATACCACAATCACTACCTGTTTAAATATGAAATACACATCTTCATGCATAGGTTTGTGACAACAAGCTGTTAAGAGTGTAAAATATCAAACTTTGAGTGTTCGATATATAAAAACATAGGAATTGTATGCCATGCATGTAAATTTCCCAAAAAAACTATTGAATAATGCAGGGCATACAAGAAAAAACAATGCAATTGATGCTAGATGAAGTTATATATACTAAAATCATGTTATAGAGTGAATCCTCATAAGAATTAGTTACTACCATAGAACAAATATATACAGAAATGATTGTTATCAAACAAATATGTGAACTACTTAAAGTTTCTGAGTAATACTGTAGATATTTACCCCAAGGAGGTGGAGCAAATAAGCCTCTTATTTCTTCAACTCTAAGGCGTGGAACCAGCTCTATCAGTAACCGATCATTCATCCACCTACGCGATCTTCTATTACTAACCTGAACATCATACAACCATTTACTATATAAATCATCAAAACCTAAACTTTTCAGTGAAAACAAAAAATAGAAAAAAGGAAGTAAAAATTCAAAGAAATTCAAAAGAAATCACCTTGCCAGCCAATTTCTCCAAAGCTTCAATCTTTCTCTCAATCAGCTGCCCGCGAGATTTCAAACCCTCACCTGAAAGGGAAGAGATCAGAACGCTCAATACCAATAAAGTCAAAAGAGTCAACCCAGATCCAAAAAACCATCTTTTTTTTTGTAATCTTATTACAGAACTGGGAAAATATGATGATAATAAGAAAAAAGGAGGAGTTTTGCAGAAAAGATCAGCCTGAAGGGAAGTCAAAGATGGAGAAATGGAGGAGATTTTCCTCTATCTTCAGAATATCGGCGTTCGCCATTGTTATCAAAACCAAAGAAACTGCAAGCTGAGAGATCTACAGTGTTTTATGCAGAGCAGAGATTTCTTAGAGCTCGGATTAGAGAGAAGAGCG